TGGGGAGGTTGGGGGAGGGAAGGTAAATATTTGTAAAAGCTTTTTTTCCCCAAAAATTTTCAATAAAAAAAGAAAAAGTTGCAGGTTAGAATAATATCGTTACTATCTTTGAAACGTTGGCTTCAGGGAAAAATGAATTTTGTTTCTCACCTTCTTCAAATCTCTCACCTGAAGCCATGAGAAAATATCCACCATGCCCTGCTTAGCCACAGTGTCCACAATGCCTTGGCTGTATTGGAGCATGGCCTCAAACTCAGGATCTCCAGGCTGGTAGGATGTATTAAAACAAAGGGAACACACTACATTTGTAACAGCACGTGTTAGTTCAGGCCCCATGTCCAAAGATGAATTCTCTGTAGCATTCAAAGTTGCACACAGAAAAGTTGCTTGTTGAGAGACTGGAAGAAAAGCACAAGAGAGCAAATCTATGCAAGAAGAAAGAATTATTTTAGAAACAGGAAGAATGGAGACAGGAATTAGGGAAAAATAGAAATATTTTAACCCGGGACACATACCTGTAGATAGGTCCCCCAGATAACATTGTGATATCTTCCGCTTGATTGATTTTTCATTGTGGACAAATCAATCACTTCCAATCTTAATGCCCCACATATAATAAAGGCGAACTATAGCAAGGTTATGTTTATATGACATAGTGTACAACAAATGAACCAAACATACTTAACTTTATGTGTCATTTTTTTTCTTTTTACTACCCTTTAAACCCTTTGTTTCGGGGTGGAGTCGAGGCAACTGAGTGGAGCTGAGCATTTACTGGCCCTATGCCCATGCAGAGTTCTCTTTGGCCCCTGATAAACATCTGCCACTGCCTAGGATTGAACTCTCAACCTTCCAAGTGAGAGAGGAGTGTCTTCACCTCTAGGGCACACTGCTGCTCTAATTTTATGTGTCATATGAACTCCCAAAATTGAATTAAATAAACCATTATTAAATTACAAAAAGGTATGCCATGTAGCCTCAAACAATTGATGGTCATTAAGTTCTATTGAACTATATTCTGCCTTACACAATGTAGCAGGGCTATATGAAAATAACTTACAATATTCCTAAGCCTTTGCTTAAAATTACTTTTCAGGACTGATGCAAAGATTTAAAAAAAACTTGTGAAGTACTTTAATAATCAATATTTTGGCTATGTCCTGATTTAATAATTGCACCTTACTCTATGTATGGCCTATTGTCAAAATTTTATTTATTTACTTATTCCATTTTGATGCCACCAAGTTCAAATGAGCACAGGTTGATGCTTATACTGAAATATTGATTATCAGATGCTTAACAAACACAATTTATGGTGTTTAAAATCCTAAATATCATAGGTCAGATTACGTACCATAAATCACTGCTTCTTCTACTGCAAACTCTGAATCAATAAAATGTACAGGAGAATTCCTTAAAGAATCCTCACTGCTAGAGGCCTGTATATATGGCATATTGGTGAAACCTGAGTCTTGCCACCCTTTGTTATGGTATGGTATGGCTTTGCCATTTTCCAGGATAAAGTAACTTCATCCCATTTTCTTCCTTCCTTCCTTTCTTGTGGAATTTTCATTCAGTAGTCAGAAAAAATACTCTAATTTTAATGCACTTGGAAAATCTTGGAGTTCTATAAAATCAGTCAATACTTTAATCTTCTGTATTCTGTACCATATATATCCAATCCTCAAGACAATTTAATTTGGTATTAAAGTTAGTCCTCGACTTGCAATCACAATAGAGCCCAGAATTTATGTTGCTAAGTGAGAAATTTGTTAAGTGAGTTTAGTCCCATTTCCTTTTATTCTTGTTAAACAAGAATATTCATATAAGCAAACTGATCATATCAATGTCATAATTCTTACCTGAAATAAATAAAAGTTTGGATCAAAACCATGATATCCATTCTACTCAAGAACAACTGTTATCCCAGAATAAACTAACTACCAAAGTTACAAGATGCAGACAATTTTAAACTAAACGTAGTTACTTTTCTTTGCCCGTGTTTCAGATTATTATTGATTAGATTTTTTCAGGTAGCTATAAGTTTATATGACTAAACATTTGTTAAGATGTTTGTTAAACATTTGTTATAAGTTTTTAGTTTTTCCAGTTTTTTTAATCTACCTATCTTTTACACTTAAATATCTGTCCTGGATGCATACCATATTCTTATGCAGTTTAGGTTGTTCTTCATGCAAATGATATTAATAAACAGTCTTTATTAAGGTACATGCACTGTGATAATGATGTATAAAGTTTCCAGGATGGGAACATTGGCTTTAAAACAAAACACTCAATAGGTAGCAAACTGGTGTTTAAGCCTGTATTATAACATTTAAATCAGAGGTGTCCAAAGGATAGGTTTAAAAAAAGTCAAGATAGTGGCCACAATTGCATGGTTTCAGCATCATCTTGACTTTTTAAATCTAACCTGCAGGTGTCCTTGATTTAAATAATATGTTCCTTCACCTGAGAAGAGTAGGTTCAACTCATCTTTGTTTACAAATACATTGCTAGTGTTTCTCTTCCTAGCTTGGATCTCCTTCACTACTATTTGTGGGCAACTCACTAGTTTTCTCCAGAGCCTCAGATCCTTCACCAAACAGAGAAAGGGAAGAATGTACTATCTTGCGCTGAAATTTCCACATTGGGCTATAAGTAGCAAAGGCAATGTCTTTTCCATTCCGGGTCAACAAGTCTGTAGTAACCTAGGAGGAGGCAGAGGAAGAGGAGAAATAACTGAGTTTGCATCAGAACACCTTATAATGCATTCAGTGAGATTAGCATTTGGTTGACATTTGGAAGGAAGAAAAACACACACATATACAGTATACCACTTCCCCAATGATCTCATTGATGCCTTGGATGATTACTTGTGCATTTAATTCATTCACTAGCAATGGTCTTAAAAGACATTTACAGAAAGCAATAGTTAGGGAGCTTTTTGCTCAGATAAGAGAGGATGGGCAATGGGAGGGATGTATAAAGTTATGCCAAATTTAAAGAATACAGAAAAATGCTTAACCATGTCCTTTGCAATATTGGAACATGGTTTCATTGAATAAAGCTGAATCAAAGGCTACTTTGGAGTGAGTGGTTAAGACATGAGGCTAGAAACCAGAAAATTACGAGTTCTAGTTCTACCATAAACTTTCAGAAAGCCAATTGGGTGATCTTGAACTAATCATTTTCTCTCAGCCCTAAGAAGCAGACTAAGAGCTGGGGTGGCATAGTGGTTAGAGTGCAATACTGCGGGCTACTTCTGCTGATCACAGACTGCCTGCAGTTTGGCAGATCAAATCTCACCAGGCTCAAGGTTGACTCAGCCTTCCATCTTTCTGAAGTCAGTAAAATGAGGAGCCAGATTATTGGGGGCAATAGGCTGACTCTGTAAACCGCTTAGAGAGGACTGTAAAGCACTATGAAGTAGTATATAAGTCCAAATGCTACTGCTATGGCAAACCACTTCCAAACTCTTGCCAGGAAAACTGCCAGAATACTCCAGGCAGTCACCAGGAATCAACATTGACTGAAAGGGACAAAAAAAAGGTGGGGGGATGCTGAAGATACACAGAATGAAGCACTTCTTCACATAATGCAGCACATTATAGGATTTTGTTCCCTTTGTTGATCTGGTGGTAACCATAAAATAAGATGGATTTAAAAGACAGAGAAATTAATGAAAACTATTTCAATGTGCTATTTCCAAGATAAGAGCGAAGGATAGAATGTGAATTGAAAAGTCAAGAATCTGATGCCTCTTCTGTACTTAACTTTGTGGGAGTTATGGAAAAATATATAATCTCTGCAGTCCAAATTTATAAACTCAGATGCAAATATATTACCTCAGTGAAACCTAAAGCTAGCATAGAAGTAATAAGAGCAATATCTTTCCTGGTAGAATTTGAACTACATGTGCCGTACACCATTATGAACTTTTAGAGAAATGGCCAGGTATTAAATAAATAAATGATAAATGGGAGTGAAACCATCTTCAATATGAAGTATTTTGATCTGAGGCTTAACTATAGTTGGTTTTCTGAATAGGATAATCTCCGAGCAAGGAAAAATATTGGGTTTAATTCTTTAGAGAGAGCAGGTAAGCATTTCAAACTATATGTCTCTTCACACTACTTTTTCCATAAATATGTCTAAATGGGGATGGAGGACTTATGCATATCCAAGTGATGCATTTGAATGGCTCATAAAAAGAATTCTAAATCACACAGTTGAAAGAACAATATGTCTTAATAGCAACTGTATTTTCAGAATTCATTTCTTAAAATAAATTATGCAGTCATGTAATATATTTTATAAAAACAATTACTTTAAATATATAAAGTGATGCAAGTAAACAGCAAAAGAGACTGAAGAATACTTTCAAATAATAAGCTCATAATAAAATGATACCTGTATTAATTTATTACTTTGTTCCCAGTGCATTTTGGGAGCTTCCTCAGCTGAATATTCATTTCTAAAGTTTCCCAATAAATTATCCGCACAACCTTATCTAAGAAATTGAAATCAACTGAAATATGTTTATTGGATATTGTAACTGTAACTCAAGATGGCAACCCTTCCTTTTCCCCACAACAACCCTGAGAAATGGATTGGTTTGAGAGAAACTAACGGGCTCAAACTCACTTGGTCAGCTTTCTTGCCTAAGGCAGGACTGTAACTCATAGTCTCCTGTTTTCTATACCCCGGCATTGACTGAAGCTGCATCAAGAGCCAGAAATTAATTCCTAGTCAAGATTAGATATTAACGTGGATAGTTTGCTTACCATTCGAGGTCTCCCAGCAAAGATCTTCCCCTTCTTAAGTAGCACTTCCTTGGCATGAAGGTAATCGTTGATCACTACTGTGTAATGGGAACCCATGTATAGGGAGAAGACACTACCGTATTTTTGCTGCAGACTGCAAAATAAGAGATGGGGCTGCTTGGAGCCACCTAAATGCAACAGGCTGCCAATGATTGGCAGGGAGGGAAGGCTCCTGGGATAGTTGAGCTTGGAGTCCAGCTTCCCTCTTGCTACTCTCCAGAAGAACAAGAGAGCCAGCGTTAGGAACAAGACAATCAAGAGAATCATCATTGTCTCTCAGTTACCTAGAGAATTGGTGTGCGGTCCAGAAAAAAAGAAGCAAACTGAAGGAGTCTCTTTGCATTAGCCTACATGTGGACTTTTATAAGGGGTCCTAGCGACATCACCTTGCCTTGATGCTGGTTAATCTTTAGCAGATAATATAATCTGGAGCGATTAGCCTTGCTTCCTGCCAAGAAATCAAGAGCAAGCTGCATCTCATTTGAACTGACCCGAACTAAACAAATCATAAAAATGTGTGTCCTTGCAAGAAATGCAAGAGGTTTTTAAAAAACTTTTCTTGTACAATATTGCCATCTATACTCTATATTTTTAAAAAGATCCTCAATATGCCTAAAACTCCTCAGGATAACAACAATAATAGTATTAACAATAAAAAGAACAAAAACAGAGTGAAGCAAATAGATTAAGGTGACCAGATTTTCAGATTGGTAAAGAGGGACACCATTGACCGGGGGGGGGGGGGGGGAGCAAAATGGGATTTTTTTTTCTTTTTTTTTTTTTTTTTTTTTTTTTT